TGAGTACTACTCAGCCATATAAAGAAATGTAATAATATCTTGCAACATTATTCAACATTAATAATGCAACAATTATTGCAACATTAATAATGTCAGCAACTTGCATGGGGCTGGAGACCATTATCCTAAGTGAAGGATCTCAGGAATGGAAAAAGAAACACCATGTGTTCTCACTACTAAGTAGGAGATGAATGATGGATGGGTACACATGGGTACTGGATGGTGTAAAGGACATTGGAAACTAGGGGGCGCTGGGAGGGGAGTAAAAATAAAAATTCACTTTTGAGGAACATAGAACACTATTCTGGTTGCAGGCACACTTTAAAAGCTCTGACTTCAACATTATACAATTAATCCATGTAACAAAAATGTTTGTGCCCCCTTAATATTTTGTAGCGGTGATGCATGTCTATAATACCAGCACTTTGCGGAGGCCAAATTGGGAGGAATGGTTGAGCCCAGGAGTTTGAGACCACTCTGGGTAACATAATAAGACCCCATTCCTCCATCCTAAAAAATAGTAAATAAATAAATGATTTTGATATATTCTTTATGTGAGAAAGGCATTTATTTCTTACTTTGATTGTTTCTTCTGAATGTGTGCCTTACAAAAGTCTTATCTGAATCCTTTTCTTTTTTGGATAACTTCACAAAATTTTCTTCTGAATCCAACTTTTTCTTCTTCCCTCCCCCTCCTACTCTTTCCAGAATCGAAGAGTGGAGTCCTTGGGGTCCCCCTCAGAGCCTTGGACGGTTTCAGCTTCCCTGGAAGGGACATCAGATTCAGTGCTACAAGGTAGGTTATCTGTGACTTTTAGATACCTATTATTATGGCAACAGAGTTTAGACCTACTAGGAATTTCATAGTGAAGTTGGTAATGCCCAGTTTCTTCACTATTGTGGAAGGAATCTCCTTCACTGGAGCCCACAATGCCAGTGTCTGTGAAAAGGAAAATTATAAATACTGAAAGCATCACCTTCTCCCCCCGCTTCCTTTGCATGATAAAGGAACGTTGTTGTCATGTCCCTGTGCTCAGTATGGGATAAGGAAAAGGGTGTGGAATCTTTGGCTGGGTCTGAAATCTGTTTCTCTACTGACTATTCCATGCCATGTGACATACCTTGTTTGGAACAGTTTCATGGACTGGCCCAAGGGGCTATTCACCAGTTACAATGTGGTTCCTATGAGGAAACAGAAATGTTTGCTGTCAGTGTTATAAAGAATGCGCGATCGGAGTCTCGGAGTTGACTTTCTCCTCTCCACCTTCTGCTGTCTCTTACCTTCCTATTCAATCCCAGCACCACTGCCAGCTCCATTTACTTTCCTTGGAGCTTATGTGTATAAAAATTTATTTAAGATGCAGGGTTTCAGGGGTTGGCCCAAGATATTTCAGTAACATATTCTGCAGAGGAGTCCAGGAATGTGCATTTTAGAGCCTGGACTAGACAGTAAAAAGCAGGTATAACATTGTTTCTATGTAAAAAATTTGAGGTTCTAAAGTTCTAAATTCCTGACTGTCTAAGCTACAAAAAAAAAATATATATATATATATATGACCTACATAAAGACATAAGAGGTGCTTTCAGGTGTTCCCCAGAGGGCTATCACAGGTTAGGGACTCAGAATCCTAAGGGTAGTTCTGGGACTGTTACTTGGTTGTCTTGTCTTTGTTTTTTAGTTTGAAAAATACACGTTTGTTTATTATGAAATAGCTCCATCTTTATGCTTTTAATAAAACAATGACTAAGGGAGATTCAGGGAGGAGGTAAACTTAGAGAGGCTGGAGCCAGACAGCCAGCAGAGGACTTTGGAGAGCATGGTGGTGCTGTGCGCCGAACTCTCCCTGCCATGCCAAGCTGTTGGAGGGGCTAATGCTGGTCAGTGCTGAGGTCTGACTTCCACACTTAGAAGGCCACTCTGCTCTGTGGAGGGTGGACCTGAGAACAAGAGTGAACCTGTTGAGCCATCTGAGAAGTGATTGCAGAAGACTGGACAAATGATGATGGTGGAGATTACAAAAGCATTGATTCAAAGTGTCTTTTAGAAATAGAATCAATGAAAACTACTGGAAGTGTAGGAAACAAAGACTTAAAAAGTGAATTTTAGGTTTTAACCTTGATACAGTGGGTGGATATTGGCGTTAACTGATGTGGGAAAGACTGGTGCATGAGCAAAAAGTGAGAGTTTTGGTGAGATCAGTGTGACCTGGGCCAAACTAAGACACAAATCTATTTTCTGAGTGATTTTCAATCTAATGCAACAGTACCAAGACATGTTGGCTTACACGTGTTGTAGACTGTGTCCCAAAGAGTCAAAAGGGCTTCCTACTCTCCTCTCTGTCTGCCTCCAACCTACCTCATAAATTGGTATTCATTGTTCCTACTAGGGAGCCTTTTCCTAATTGTATGTGGTCAAGGGGGCCGTCTCCCAACAGGCAGATCTTGCCTGAAAGCCTGATGTCTTGATGCACAGGGGTTTCCTCTCTGTACAATCACCAGCACACTGGGATCCCCCTCCAGTTACGGGTAGGCTTGTGAATTTCCTTCTCGTTTGATGGAATACCAATCATGCACAATCACAGTTCAATTCTGGGGCTTCACCCTGTGGTCACTTTATATCGACCTGATATAATCAAGAATAGGATGGTACAGTGGGACATTCTAAAATTATCTCCTATATTTAGATAGTGGGTTTGAGATAATCATAGTTCTGAAAAGTGGATCTAACTTTAAGTCCTCTAACTCATTTCAGTGAGAAATTTTTTAAAAGTATCTCAAGAATTCAAACTGATTAAAAGTGATTTTTAAGATAAAGCATGGAGAATAGTTTCAGCGAGGAAAGCATCTATCCACTTCCTCAAAGCCTTTACCCTATATAACCCTCCTCAAAACTCCATAGAGTCTCATTAATAAAATAGAGCCAACAGGTTAATCTTGCTTGTTTGAATTCAGAGTTGTTGAATAATTCTGACCAAGAGCTAATGCCCCAGCAAATCTCTGTACTAAACATTATATTGCTGTTTTAGATTAGAGAAACTTTCTAATGTGATTTGAAAGTAATAACAAATGTTTTGAAAATATGCATATTCTATGAAGAAATATATAACAGTATTAGCAACATTACAAAAGAGGATAAAAGCTGTTTTAAACATAATAACTATTATAACCATGATGTTTATCATATTGGGGAAAAACAGGGAGTCTTATTACGTTTTACAAACCCTTTCTCTTAGAAATATGGTTTCAGGCACTGGCTATTTATGGCTATTTATGCAAAGTAAGTTCTATCATGGTAATGACGCACCTTTGAGATTTGTCAGCAATATACAGAAAGGAGGTTGCAAACCAATGAATCATTGGAAATTTTAAGTTGCTGTGGTGTGTATTTACATTTTTATAATTGATAAAATATCTCCATCCTTATACAAATTTGAGGATGGATTGACAACACTTTACAAATTCAGCTTTATATTTTTTACACACTCTATGAATCAGCTAGGACATTTCTACTGGTTTTGTGGTGTCTGAATTTTTTTTTTTTCAAACTTGGAAAGGACTCATCTACCAGGACAAAATCAACCTCTCTGAAAAATACACTGGTTTCCAAGAACAGGCCACAACTTTATAGTTATTTCTTGCAGGACCCTGGCTGTGAGTCTGAGCTTATTGGCAAGGCTCCCATCAATTACGTAAAATGCTGAAATGGATAGTAACAAGTAAATCCTAGAAGTGCTACATCTTACTTCCTCTTCTCACTGTACTTACTTTTGGCTCCAAACTGTTCCTATCATGTGGTACGCAACACCCACCTCTCCTGATAATTCTGTTCTTTCATTCTTTGTTATTTGTCCTAAAAATAGAAATACAGTATATACAATTATAATGATAAAGTTTTTAAGATTGTGGATTCTCATTTGAAATTTTTAATGAATTAATCTCAGATCTCAGTTTTCTTTAAATCACCCAGTTATTTAGCTTATACTTTTTTCCCTGAAAAGCTGCATTTCATCAAATCCAGAAAATAGAAGTGTCTACTTCTAAAAACTCTTTTGAGGAGGCAATTGATATCTCATAATTAAACATTTTGTAGCTCCAAAGTCCTTCCTACTTAAAGCTAATTTCTTGCTATTTGTCTTAGAGCTGTAAATTTGTCCACTCTTCTTTCAAGTAGTCTCTTATATTATTATTTTTTTGATTTCAGATTAATATGGGGCTACCCACGATTAGGTTACATAGTTGGCTTTTGTAATGTTAAAGCCTGAGTTGTTGCTGTGTCCTCTGCCCAAGAAGTGTGCAGTATACCTATGCAATGTATCCTTTGGGTGGGAATTTACCCAGCCCCTTCATCCCTACTTGAATATCATTGAGTTTTTCTCTCATGTGAAACCCTCATAGCTAGTTTGACCTATAAATTCCTTGCCCTATCTACTTACTTATTAAGAATCCAGATATTTTCAGCTTGTCTACAAAAATAATTTTCTCCCAACTTGAAAGTTTTGTTGCTATCCCAGCACTATCTCCACTTTCTCTGTGTATAGTTCAATTTTAAAGGGTGACATAATGCTACATATTTTGGGGAAAGTCCCTCATAGACTTCTAGGCTTTCCATATTCTCACTTTTGTAAATCTTGTGCCCACTTTGGTGAAGGTAGCACCTGTATTGCTGAATTACATTTTGGCTATTGGTCATTTCTCTACTAAGCAGTTGAGTTTTAAACTCCTTAGCTTTAGAATCCCTAGGAAAGGGAAGAGTCCAGAATGGTTCTCATACAAATTTTCAGAAAGAAGGTACATCAAGAAAGCAGGAAAATTAAGCAAACGTATTCAAGGTTGATGGATATGAAAATGAAAGATTCAAAACTAGCTTTTGAACTGCCACTTTGGTTGCTGCCATTCTGTTCCTGCAGTGGGCATTTTAGTACAGGGAATGCTTAGGATGTAACAGTAACTCACTTTCTAATTTTGATACGATAGAATCAAACATTTTAATTTTCGGCCTTTTTTGTGTCCCAATAATCTTTACAACAGATGCCCTTGCCTGGCTACTGAAACTCAACTCACCCTATCTTCTACTCCACGTGTTATCCATGCTCTACCCACACTCCAACATTACCCGTGCTGTGTACCTTCCCCCTACGTCACAGCTCACCCTGTAGCTTACCCATGCCCCATGCCTTACCCATACTTCATGCCTCACTTACACCCCATGCCTCTCCCAGCGTCTTACCCACGTTCATGGCTTACCCATGCTCCAAGTCCCACTCAGACTTCACTCCTTCTCCTGTACTATCCCTTACCATACTCCATACCTTACCCATGCTCCCTGCCTTCTCATGCAGCATAACTTGCCCATACTCCATACCTTACCTGTGCTCCCTGCCTTCTCCTACTTTACACGTACTCCACGCCTTACCTCCCTTCATGCCTTATTCATACTCCGTGCTACCTTTTCCTTGCTCTTCACTTTCTCCTATACCATACCCCACTCAGATTCCATATTTTCCTTTGCCCTTCTTCTGACCTTTATACCACCTTCATTTTTCATTATATTTATTTCAATTATCCCAAAGATGTCATCACTCTCCAGCTTAGACTCTTACTATGTAAAATGAATGAGGTATGAAGCTGTTTGCTGTTTTATCCTACTGATACCAACTATACTCAAGCCAGCTGCCCCACTTGGATCAGTATGATCATCACTGCCCTTTTTGGGAGATCCAAAGGATAGTATGAAGAATGGGCTGAGGGTGTCTTTTTGTGTATAGTGAAGTAGGGAAGAAACCATGTGTAGTTTTC